TCTCTCTCTCTCTCTCTCTCTCTCTCTCTCTTTCTCTCCCCCTCCCTCTCTCCCTCTTCCTCTCTCCGGACACCCCATAGATTTCGGGTGTGATCAGGTTACCTTGCGAGAGCGGTAATCATATTGCAGCTCGGTTAATGCCATTACCGTACTGGGGGAGGTTGGCAGCCACCCTCGAAATCACCCTACAGCCACCTACCGTTCTCCCCCGTCCCCACCTCCCGTACTGTTTCCCTGTACTGTATCGCGGCTTCAGCAACCCCCTAACAACGTGTATTGGATATGACGTCGGGGATAGTGGGTTCATGGTTTAATGCATATACGCTGTTTGCAGGATGACGATACCGCGCTCGTTCGTAGAAAGACGAGCCCGCAGTTGGCGCTCCTCTTGCCTCTTGGTTAATCGCGTCGTCGAGAGCTCTCGCGATGTTAACGACCTCATACGCAGTGCCCAAGTTAAAAGGATTTTAGTGTAAACCAACGACGGTGCATCGGGATTCGATGCGTCGTCCCTCGACGACCGAGTTTCGATGTCTGTCGATTCGTTTAAAGTTTGTTTCGATGTTTGATGAGAGCATAGAAAGCTTCAATCAATGTTGTGTTAATTTCTGATGTGGGCTACATGTTTCCATAAATACAATAAATATATATTAATACATTTATGCTCTTATTTTAATATTATTTGTATATAATTATTCTAAATTATTTATGCAAAGATATAATAATAATAATTTAGCTTTGTCAAAACTGTACTGTTGTGTTTGCGGATTATTACCAGTGTGTCGTAAACCAAGTTTCGTTAATGCCAAGTCGTTAATGTCAAGAAGACTTCAAGAATACAATGTAGTTTTTTTTAAATTTTATTTATACGCAGCTGCTTACGAAATAATATATAAGAAAATCTTAATATATATTTTTGTATTTTATTGGATTATCACAAAAAGTTAGAAATGTGTATTTGCTGTAAATAATGAAAAAAACGCCGTATCCAAGACGCATGAAACTCGTTCGTGGTGCCATCCACCAGAAATTACAGAGGTTTTTCGCAACAGTCGTCTCGGGTAGCGCCGCATTCGTCTCGGCGTTATTACGAGCGATTAAGCGACTATATTGCGCCCCAGAATTCATTTGGTGGCCGGGGGATGCACTGGATACATATAACACCTTAAAAGAGTAACTGGCATGAAGACGAACTCGTGTATTTACTCGAGTGCCAAGGTCTTTAAGCGTTTCTTCCGACGTTTCATTTTTTTTTTTTTTTTTTTTTCACCGGACGAATTATGATCTCACGATCTTTTCCTACTTAATGTTCTAATTTCCTATGTTTTTCTTCGCATCACGATGATGTGATGTATTAATAATATCAAAAGATTGATGACGTATCGCCAATTTAAATATATGTTAGCTATATACCATTTCGATTCAACAACTATAGAAAATGATGACACTCCGCGCAGTTTCTCAACGATGTTTGCGAGTTGAAGCAAGTTGACGGTATAAATTTATTGTGTTCGATGCGAATATGCCGATGGTCGCTCATTCCATTTTCGTCGCATAGAAGCATCGCCGTTGGGAATTCCAGGTCGTGTTCGGCCAGCGGCTGCCGTCGTTTAGCCTCCTAGCCGGTTAAACATTCGGAATCACGACATCTCGCGCCAAGGAATTTGTTGGGGCGCGCCAATGGTCTATCCCGTTTCGTAGCAGCTAGTCTGCATTGACATGGTAGACGGGAAGCAGAGCCGAGTGCACCGCGGCACAGTTGAATAGACATAGTTTATGCATACACATAGTTTAGATAGATAGAGAGAAAATCGATAGAGAAGGAAATAAATAGTGCTTGGTGGTGAAAAGCGAGAATAGCGTAGCGAGTATTGCATTAAAGCGTGATAAGTGAACATAACGAAAAGGTGTGGCTAAGAAAAGGATGGAAAAAGATACGACGTATCGAAGTAAAATTGCAAGAGAGCTCGCATATATTAGACGAAGATGTACGGAAATCATAATAATGACTTGCAATATGATTTCGATACTAGGACTACACTCTGGAAAGATAAGAACATCGCAAAGAAAGTATAGAGGAATAGAATGCTCATGATGTAGATGATGATCTTTCGCCTATTCATTTGATACTTTGATATGAATTGGGCATTCCAAACGAACAAATAAAGATAAAAATAATCATGTTTAAATGCAACATTTAATATTATATTATATTGTAAAATTCTAATGTCTAATGAAAAAAGTCACATGTTGACTGAGAACGATTATTCTAAATCTGGATTTGCAATATTGATGTATTTATTAATATTCTTTAAGTTTCATTTTTCATAATATATTTGCACATTCGCGCGCGCTAAAAATTATTATTTAACTTACACATTAAGCATTTTAAACGAGGAAGTAGAAACGATTGGCCAAGAAATTTGAATACGTGTTCACGCTCTTGTAATTCTATTTTGATACGTAATTTACACAGATTTGGTCTTAAAGATAAACGACATAAAGAATTGAATAATTATCTTTATATCTCTCGACATTGTGTCAAGGTATACCTTTGATAAAAGAGACGCCGGTATTTGTTATCGTTCTGTGATGAATAAGAATGTAGAAAGAAGAAAATAATATCATTGAAATAGTCGATGTATCGCACAAAACGATCTTCGTGTATACGATGCCGGAGTGCAACTGGAGATTAATGGAATTTCCTAAAAGCAAGTTTATGTATTCGCGTTGGCGCAGATTCCCACGATTCCACGAGCTCGCATGTTTTGCCGCGTTACGCTGACTCGGCGATATTTTCGAAAATCGCGACGTTTTGCCAATGCTCGAATAAAAGTTTCGTACGGCACGAATGTTCGATTCGTGGGCTATCGTCTTCTTTTTTCAGCGGATTGTTTATCGCCACGTATGAATAATGTAATAGAAGTTAAGTGCATCGAGTCTCCCGAGAGGAAAGTCGATGGTGATCCCACTCTCGTTATAAGTACCGTTTCATGCGTTTGCGAAGAGACACGGATCTTTCCTTCATCCCTTTCTCACTTCATAGTAGCCCATTCGGATGTTCCGTTTCTCTTTTTCTCTTTCTCTCTCGCACTCTCCGGTTGTCATTTTGAAAGCCATCCACCGACCTCCCCTCGCTGTCAGTCCGACCGTACATACGTCCATCCGTACAACCGGCGCACCAACCAACCAACCAACTCTGCGACCCTCCCTAAGTTTAATTAGACGGAAGAGGAGCATACATCATGGTCGACTCCGTGTCCCGACCTTCCCCGGACGGCGGAGTTGGGCTTTCTAGAATTGTGGGTACCGACCTAGTAGTTCCCCTCTCGTCGTTCCTTCTCATATATAGTATATCTTCGATGTTATATAGCACATATGGATATGGAATTGTTAACACGTTTTGATACTTTCAAGAGAAATTGAAATTTTTACTGCTGGATTCATTTAGAATTTATAAATAGCAAGCGTGACAAATTTATAAAATATGTTGTATATTTTAATTTAATTATTTCTGATTGATAAAGAAATTTTGGTGTCATCTTGATAAATCATTAGGCATCGAAAATGATATGAGTTAATTAATTTTATATTATATTTAATATGAAATATTTAATTTTTTTAATTTTCTTTTACTCGAATTTTTAATATAATTGATTATAGATTTTTAAATACTGTAATTTCCACATATACTGAATTCACAAAATGATAAATATGATTAGTTGGTAGACATCAAGTAAATCAAAGAATGTGAAAAATAAAGAAATAAGCAAAATAAGATTAAAGAGAGAGGATAAAATCCACATATATAATCCATTTTAATTTACGCGGGAGACATATCCGTCTAGTTTGCAATTTCCTGTTTCTTCTTTCACTTGATCATTCTTTTAATTTTCTACCTTCATTCTATTCCATTTTTGTTTTATCGTCTTTATTGTCATTTTTATTATTCTTTCTCTACATGGCTCTAGCTTTATTTGTAATATTTTTATATTAGTGAATTCACATTTCATGAAATTTATATTTGCTCTCATTTTTTAAATATATAAGTTATCAAAATGCGATTAAATTTCAAAAGTACACATCTGGCATGCAAGAGCAGATATATATTATCTCTGCAGCTTCTATATTGTCTTAATGAGAGAACGGAGTGCAGTCGAGGCAATCAATAAGCTATCTAAGATAGGTAAGACCGGCGTGTTGCAAACCACAAGCCAGCAATGCCATTACCTGCATGCGGTAGAATCCTACAGACCGAAACGTTAGCGCTTTTCCATCGAGATCGATAATGAAACGCGCTTCAGTTGTTACTTTTACATTGATATAGCAACACATCTCGATATAATATTTTGAATTCTTCATCTATCGCCATCAAGATACATGGTATATACAAAGTATACAGGATATAAGGACAAATATCTTATATTTTATAGCACGATAAAGCAGTAGGTATCTCGTACAGATTTTATTTTTATATTTGTCTACTTAAAAAGATCTTGTCGACATTTTGCGAT